GGGAGTGGGTGCCCATGGAGCGGGGGGTGGGTGCCCACGCTCCCACCGGCCAGCCCATCCCGGCTGTAAGGCTCAGCCCTTTGGAGCATGACTCTGCCCAGGGTTTCGGGGTGCAGTGGGGCAGGTCTCTTGGCTACAAGCCCCACGGAGTGGTGTCTCCCCCTGAACGTGCTTTGACTTTGTTGCTTTTTGGGTTTCTGGTCTCTTTGGTGGGTTCTTGGGCTGTATCAGGGGGTCTGTGTGGGCTTGGCTCACACCAGGTTGGTTTCCAGCTCTCTTCCAGCCCCACAGGACTCAATGGAGATTTTTCCACCCCTGTGCAGGCCCCATAGACCTCAGCAGTTGCCGCTGGCAGGCGCAGATACTGCAGCTGGACCGAGAGCCGAAGGTGGCTGCTGCCAGGCAGCCGGGCAAACCTCGTCTGGGTTTCCCACATGCTCATGAATGTCCTTTTGAGCAGGACAAGCCATTCAAGACCTGACTTTCCCCCCCCCTGAGGAGGTGGGAAAGGTCTCTAGTTATAACCCACCCCTGCCAGCGTGGCAAACCCTACCGTTACCTTCCTGGTTATTTTAGATGGGTTTTATTTAGAGATCTGTACTAAAAAGAGGGAACTGCATTCCAGGGTTTTTCCTGTTGGAGCAGGTGATTTCTTTCCTCCCTCGGCTCAGGTGTGGGCAGGGTGGAGTTTACTACAGCTCCTTTCTTATATAAAGGGCAGGTTGAGGCACAAGCTGTCCCTAAGGAGGGGCTGCTGGATGCCGGAGGTGGCAGTGGGGAGCTTTCCCTGTCCTGGGAGAGGTAAGAAAAGCTGCCCCAGCAGCTTCCTTTGGTTTGCTTTGTCTGGAGCAGCACGGTTTAACGTTATGAAGGACTTTGCTCTTTTAAAAGTTTGGCTGGATGTCTGGTGGGGCACAAGCCCTGGGCTCAGCGTGGTTTCTTGGTGTCCCTTGGCTGCTAGTGGGGAGGTGCAGGAGGGCTGGGCTAGCCCCAGTGCTGAGGTGTGTGGGGCAAAGCCATGCTGGGCACATCCACCCCCTCCTGCAGTGCTTGTTATTGGCCCCTTCCTGAGCTGGGGATGCAGCGGGGGCTGCATGGGTGGCAGACCTCGTCCCCTTGGACCATGGACCTGGGGATCCTGGGCTACCCTGGAGTGAACAGACTCGAGCTCTCCCAGTGCCAAGGGGATGAACACAGTGGGCTAACATTGGACTTAAACCTTACTTGCTGCCATCTGAGATGCGACAGTAGGTGTGAGAAGCAGACTGTGTGGGAGCAAGTCATTGTTGTGCTGTGAAAGCAGTCAGTTATTACCAAGTGGTATGTACTTAAGGTGAAAGTCCCTGTTGGGTGGAGATGGGTTTTAAATGTGTTGGCACCTCTCTCAGCCTCTGCTGTCACCCGCTGGTGACCAGGCTGGGGTTTGGGTGCTGGGAAGTTGGGTTGGTGCTGGTGGAGTTTTGAGCTTCCTCAGCAACTGCTGTGAGGGGCTCAGCCCTGGGGCAGCAGCACCGGCAGCTGCTGGGGGTGGGTGGAACTGGCTGGGGCTATCCCCAGGTGAAGGCATCGCTCTGTGATGAGGCTGCAGCTTCGCAGAGTGCTTAAAGCAGGTGTTTGGATGCCTTGGCACAGGGGAGGGCTCTGCTGAGGCAGGCAGTGATGGAAGCTCGGCAGTGAAATGAAAAGGACTGACGGATTATGAGATATTGCAGACTTGATATCGACTGGGATATGGTTGCATTTGGTAGGTTTGTTTGGAACAGACAGTGGGGAGTGTTCTGCTTTCCTGCTGGGGCTGTGCTGGTGTGAACGCTGCCCTGTTCCTGGTGTGGGTGTTGTTACCTTGAGCACGATGAGAGTTGCGGCGAGCAGGCTGAGTAAGGTGCTGTGTGTCTGACACGAAGTAAAAAACGGGCTGAGACACAATCATTGCTCTCCTACTTATGATTTATTTGGCTTTATCTACATTAGCACAACTCTAAAACCCAAGAGAAATCCCATGGTCTGTGGCTGGGTCTGAGGGCTGCCGTCCTCGCTGCGTGGGGACGGCGTCTCGCAGGCACTTCTCAATGGGAGGCACTGAACGGCGCCTTACGAGCGTCACAGGCTGGAAAAGTACTGAGATGAGGCCCAACCTATAACGACAGAAGCAGATAGACGATTGGTTACAGCAAGCAGCCGGCCGAAGAAAACGCGTTGTAGCACCAACAGGGACGAGCGTGCAGGGTTTGTGCCTGTCCGGGAGATGTTGCTCCAGCTGAAGTTAAACGCTCAACCTGCTCAAAATGAGGGCTGGTTCCCCCATTGGCTTTGGGAGATTCTTGTTTTGCTTTCTAGTCACAAGATCCTGTAGTCTCACTATGGTGCGTTGGTTGTCTGACACTCTCAGATGCTGGCACACACCCCAAAATAGGCACGGCTTGTTTTCACAACACAGGGTGGGCTTGTGTGCCTCGCTGAGAGCGCCGGGATGGGCTCGGAGCTCCCAGGGACACCTCTGTGTGGTCAGGGCCTTCCGCACCACCTGCCCAGCAAACACAGGAGCAGCCTCTTTGAGGTGGGGAGGGGGTGAACAAATGCCTGTAGCAAGTGGACAAAGGGGAATTCACGGGGGGAGACAGGTCCCAGGGCCCTCCGGGGGCTCAGACGGCTGTGTGCGGCAAACCTGTACAGTAGGTGCAGAGTTACTGAGGTGTGCGAGCGTCTCCGTGTATGGAATGAGTTTACTGGGAGGGGGGCCACGGGCTTTCCCTGCCCTGGCACAATTCCATGTGCCATAGATCTGCCTTGTGTGGGTGTGTAGAGCTGCCTCTCGCTCCCCCCACCCTGCTCAGGCTGGCTGGATGTCAGGTTTTGCATATGTAAAAATCCACAGCAGTCTTTGCCCTGGGAAGCTTGCTAGTGATCTCATTAATCAAGGCAAACAAAGCGTATTTAGCTATTCCCCCTCTCTGGAGGAAAGGCGTTCAGGTACTTAAATATGCATTCGAGTGCCTAACTTCAGACGGTTGTTTCTGGATGCTTTTGCTTTCTCACAAGTAGCAGCAGTGCCATGAAGCCTCTGGGGGAGGGAAAGGTGGGAGAGGCAGAACCAGGGGCTGCTGAGGTGGGTGGGCAGCCCCTGGGAGCTGGGGTGGGCAAAGCTCAGCTGGGCCGACTCCAAGGTGGTGTTAAGGAAGCAGGAGTGTTTCCCTCGGAGCTGGGGTCATTAGAAAAATCCAGTGCCTGCAGGTCAGGACAGCTGAGCAGCTTCACTCGGATGTGCCTCTGCCTTTCCTCCTGCCCACCGGTGCTGGGGGAAGTTTCTGCTTGGGATTGGGTTGAAGCAGCAGTTTGTTCACCCCAGTCTGGGTACAAAGATCCCAGGTGATGTGTCTCACAGAGTGACAACTGGCAGTAATTAAAATCAGCAGAGCCCTTGACAAAGTTGTGAGGGATGCCAGCTTCTGCCCTCGCATGCATAAGAGGGAAGCACCAGGTGTGGGACAGGGGACAAGTGCTATTTTAAAAAATGAGAAACCCTCTCATAACGAGGGACAGTTGAGAAGTATGGATTAGTCCCAGGCCAGTAATTAGAGTCAAGATAAGGGTGTCCTTGGGTCAAAGGTCTTATTATGACAGAGACTGGTGTTGAGAATTCAATGCCAGTGATGAATCCTCATCTCTGATTCTTCTAATTCATATTTTAAATGATGAACCCAGAGGTACTTCCCCTGGAGACAGCTGATGGTCTTGACCATTGCTCTGATGTGGTTATGGGCTGTTACCACAGGATTCCGTCTGAATCCTGGATTTGGAGCATTGGCTGTAGCAGGACAGGAAGATAGTTTGTAGACACACACTTAATGTCTGTCTTTGCAGGATGGTGGAGCTGCAGTGGGTTTTGGCCGCTGATAAGAAGCGGTGTTTTGCTGCTGTTCATTGCGCTTGTTATGGACAAATTAAAACCTGCAGGACATTTGCAGTTGGGATGCTGAAATACTTGCTTCAAAGAATTGGAGGGGCAATAAAAACCTTTTCCCTCCTAGAACTTGAAAATAACCCCCAAACACATATTTATTTGGGTTTCTCACGATAATGTTTGAAGTCAAAGGGCTGTAAACGAGCACTTGTCAAACAGCACAACCACGTGCATGTGGCCAGCAGAAGCAGGTCTGTGAGGAGGACCAAAATCACATGTGAGAAGCTGGTGCGGGGAAGGCAGAGCTCCCCTGATGGCAGCAGAAACATGCCCCGGAGACGGGGGTTCTGTGGGTGCTGGGGTGTGCGCCGTGGCTGCTGGGCACGGTCAGCGCCTCTTGGTGGTCAGAAAGGTGAGCTGGGGGGAACGGTACCTCAGTTGCACAGAGAGGAGGGAAACTTCAACTGATGTAGCTGGATTGAATGTGATGTCTTGTGGGAGGTGTTGAGAATGAACCCGTGAAAAGGGCTGAAGCAAGCCACGAGCAGCACCAGGCTCTCCTGCTCTGGGAGGATCCACAGGGTGATGTGGTTGTACCCGCTCCTCTCCCAGCACCTGCCTGGCTCAGCTTCCCAGCCCTCCACGATTTTTCACTTCAACACCAAAGCCACCCCTAGACTCAGCTTAGTTTTTCCATCATCCATTTAGTGGGTGACAAAACACTTCCCTGAGCTCCCTTTACAGGAAACCAATCTCTATTCTTTTTCCAAAACCTCGCTCATTTACACGACTCACAAATCCTGGGCCTTTTAAGTCCCCTCCTTTTTTCTTTTCCTCCCAAAACAAGACAAACCAGTCCCATGTTTGTAGATTTTTCAGGGGGGAGGAGGGAATAAAATACACAGTACGGGGAGGGGTAGGGTATAGACACTGCCGCGCGCCGGGCCGAGCGTCCCCGCACAGACAAAAACCACGCGCGCTCGCGCATCGAGATGCAAATGATTTCCGTGAAGCTATCACTTGTAAAGCTTGACAGAAAATAATGAGAAACACTAAATCTTTTATAAGGTCAACACTCAAGCAGCTGTCAAACAAGAAAAGAATTTAGCGAAAGATCCGCAAAAACTTCCATCGCCTCATTAAATCCAACAGGGCCGGGGCCCGGCGTGGTGAGGAGGCACCGGGGCGCCTCCGTTTTGTGTCAGTAATTTGTGGCGGAGGAAGAGGGAAGACGAAACAGCCAGCGCCGAAGGGGCCTTGGGGGAGGCTGGGGAATCGTTAGTGCGCCAGGAGCGGCCTCGGCTCCTAATTGGAAGCATTGGGCATTATCAACGGAGGATTTGCCTCGGCTCCCTGACAGCTCTCTAGGCCTGGAATGATAGCCCACTTGTCAGTGTAAAAGACCATTAAAAACAAACCATTTTGATTTAATTGGAGGCGGTGCGCTGGGGGCCCAGGTGAGGCGCTTCATCAGCCGATGTTGGCTGCTGATGCCTTTTTCCCCCTGTATTGATGGCTTTTTTTTTTTTTTTCCCCTCTCCCCTCCCTTTCAAAAACTGTCTGGGAAAGAGAAAGAGGTGCTGAAAGATCCTTCACAGCCGCGTTGAGAGCGGCTTTCAATAGGGTTGTCAACAAATGCCATGACAAGTTAGAGGCAGGTATTTTTAAAACAGACGTTACTCTGTCCCCGATGAGCCGCGCTCGGAGGGGTGTGTTGGGTTATTAGGGTTACAAATACTGCGGCTTTTCCTGCAACTAGCGTGCTTAACTGGTTTAACGAATGGGGTTAATATTTTTCTCTCCCCACCTTTCTAATTCCAAGAACGTAGGGAAACGCAGGACAAGTGAGTCTGGGCTAAGGGGTCTTATTTTCTTCAAGCCCTGGAAGGTTTCAAAAAGTGCTCGGCAATTTTTGGCTGCTGTATTTAATGCCCCACCACGAGAACTGGGATGTTTTTTAGCTTGCTGAAAATGAAGGCCACAGATGTCTGCTGGCATCGAGTGGTCACTTGGTGTGGGCAATCGTGTGAGTAAAGGAGAATTAACCCACTGGAGCTGTAACTCAGTGTGTGGCCCCCTTGGCAGATGTCCTGGGGTCAGACCAGAGCTGGCAGCTTTCCCTCTGACCTCGTGTGTTTGAGATTTGAATCCTGACCCTTTCCATGCCAGGCATGAGTTTGAAGTAAAACTAAGTTGTCTGTTGGTGAGCAGTATCTCTGCAGAAGGCAGAGTAGGTCCTGAATGAAACCCCAAGTCCACTTAGCAGGCGATTCTGTGGATCTGTGCAAACAGCAGGTAGCAGCGGTGTGGTCTTCGCCTGCTGCAGACCCCCCAAATCTGTTCCTGCACTGGTGACTCTGCAGCAGCAATGGGCGCTGGTTGCCCACAGTTCCTTGGGCTCTCTTTGGACACCAGGGTTTGGAATTAGGCAGAACCTGCCCGGACACGGTGCAGGGTGTAAGGCTGCACAGGGAGTGGTGGCATTCCCTTGTGTCCGTCAGGAGAGGTCGGAGAGCCGTGAAAACGGCAGCGGGACGGTGGGTTACCATGTCTTTGGGGAAGGGCCGAGCACGGCAGAGGGGCAGCATTCGGGTGTGATGGAGGGGTTGAGTGCCCATGGCACACGCAGAGGGACACTGGGAAAGGCTGGACCGTGGAAATGCTTCACTCTGATCTGAGCCATTGCATTGCTGGAAGTTTCAGCTGTTAGGCAGAACAACAAAAGCTGCAGAATCTGCAAGAAAACGAAGTGATGGTGACAGGCCTGGAGCCTGCATTGGGTCACGGAGCAGCTGTGGTGGCGGGGGTGACATTTCTGCTGCGGTCCCAGGGAGGTGTGAGGGATTCTGCTCGGGGGGCTGGGTCTCTGCTGCCGATTTGGAACCCCGCAGGGTGTTGTATTTTCTTTTTGCACTGCCTGTTGTAGGCAGGTCAGCACTGAAGGCCAGGGCTGCTGCTTTGGCTTGTCACTGGAGGGCTGGGCCCTGCTGATTTGTGTCACTTGGGCCATCAAACAGCCATCAGGTGGCACTGATTCTTTTTGCACTAGCTAGGGCCCGGGAGACAAGTTTTCTAACCCTCTCACTCCGTGAAGTCTTGTCCTCACGCGCGGGAGGGTACACGCGTAGCCGACAGCCGGCCCGCCGCGCGCTGTGCCCATCGAGCCCGTTATTGAAGCAGAGTCTGTGGCTTTTCTGACAAGACAACGCTTGTGAGGTAACATGAGCTGTGTTTGTCAGTTCAGCTCTTCAGACAAAAACGGAGGTAAGGCATTAAAAAGAAATGTGGAACATTTTTGTGTGTATGCGTTAAACCTCAACTGTTAATTCTGATGAGGGATCAGGCTGTGAGCAGATATCAGATCCCTGGTGAGAATCAAATTCTGGAGCCCAGAATTTTGCTGCAAAGTTTATACAGTGGGGATTCCTCTAATTACTTTCAGTGGAAATTTACCTGACAGAGCTTTCCCAGGTAGTGCAAGGCATATGTGGGAGAGCCGCTCAGCTGTTGACAGAGCCTTTGATTTTGTGCCAGGTTGCAAATTAAGTCTTTTGCCAAGGTACCCGAACACTTGCTCGTCAATTGCTTATCGCTTATTCATATCGCGCATCGAGTGCAGCTTGTTTCATCTGCTTGGAAAAGCAGCACATGTTGACAAAAGTGTTGTCCAAAGTTGCTGCATATTCTTCCCTCTCCCTGTTTGGTCAAGTAAACAAGACTATTCTCCCTGGAAAGCCACCTTCCATGTCTCTGCAAGCTGGAATTCTCTAACGAGCGAAGGAAAAAACACGGTGTGTGTCCGTGACACGTGGTGTGCACAGCTATTCCGGCACACGCGTGAGTTCTGTCCTGCATTGCTGCTGCGAGAGGTGTCGCTCCCAACATCCTCCTGGATTGTCTCGGCAGAGCCCTGGAAATCTGTTGCAGAGTGGCCAGAGTTGCCTTACTGGCCGGGATTGTGACTCTCGGATGTTCAGATGGAGGTAGCCGGAGCCTCACCCTGGGCTGGCGCGGGCAGGGCTGTGGGGATGCAAAGTTTCGGCAGCAACAGCCTTTCCTGAGTTGGGTTGACCCAGGCTGCCGCTCTGCCTGGGCCAGCATGGTGCCAGCGATGAGTGACACAGGGGTGGGACACAGCCCGTGAACTCGGGGGGCTGGGGTGTTTATCTCTGTGCCGGGTGCCTGAGGTACAGTACCCAGGGAATGTAGCTCCAGATCTATGAACAAATGACGTCTCGGTGCACGGTCTCAGCCATGTTGGCAAAGCCTGAGCCCGGGAATCGTGTCACTGTAGGCAGAGCAAGGCAGAGGCTGTTTGTCCTGGGAGGTGACTGAGGAAGAGGAGGGCAGTAAAAGCATCTTGCTGAGGCAAGTAAGGGGTTAACTTCTGTTTGGTGGTTTTTTTTTCAAAAAAAACCCTCCAATTCAGCAAGTTTCCCTAATGAACTGCCCATCAGGACATGGCTGGCTCCCTGTGACCTGTTTGCCTCAGTGATCTGGAGGGCCCAGGAGACCACATGCCAGGTCGGTCCTCTGGAGCGAGACGTGGCGCAGGAGTGATCACCCGGTGTGGGAGAGCCGGGTAAATCACCCAGTTACCTTAATAGCGTGGGCCATTATTCTAAAGCAGTGGGGCTGAAACCTAAATCCAAATGAAAATATAGTCAATTTGTCTATACTTTGCTGACTGAATGACTATGTAATGTCATGCGGCCCTAGCAATGCAGGGAGCAAGCAGAGGCAATTAGTGGGGAGGGCAAAGCTCCTTTGTTTCCTTCTCCTCCATGTCCTCCCCAAGCTCTAGCGTGGTACTAGAAGTCAGTCTTGCAGGGAATGAATGGACAGTCCAGTTTAAGAGCCCGCAGTGACATCCACACCCAGATTCTGCAGATCTCTAAGGGGTCAGGATGAACATAAAGTCCTCCTCATTGAATTTTATGGGTCTAAAGGACCCTTAAAGCACAGTTTGGAGGCTACCAAGTGACTTTGGGGGAACCATCAACTTTGTCTGGGTTGTTATTGCTCTTAATTGAGTAAATGCTTATGGATGTCTTAAGAACTTATTTTTCCATGGAGGAAACTATGCACTGGAACTCAACTGAGCAACAAATTTCCTGATCCAAGTTCTGACATGGGCTATGCCTCTCTGATCTGCAGCTGGGGAAAGGCACACCTTCCAGGTCAATGTAATGAGGAAGGAGGAGGACAAAGTCAGCAGAGGCTGTGCAAAATGAGCTGTCCCTCTTCCCCTGGATGCCCCTCCTGGGAAGGAAGGGAAGAGAAGAGGAAAAAAGAGGAGAAGAAAAGGTTGAGAGCTGTGACTGCGGGAGGAACCCAACCACAGTCACGGATGAAACAAAAGGCAAAGTGTGAAGAAAAACACAGGCTGAAAAATGAATAGTGATGGAAAGGTCTGGGGTGAGAGGAGCTCTAAAGAGGAGGCTTGCCCCAGTATCTCGTGTGACTTACACAATCTGTTTAACAGCGATCGGTCATGTTCCTTCCCTGACACTAGCTGCAGCAGCAGCTCTGTGCTGACAGGCAGTGGGGATAAATGATTACTGACATATGCTAATCGGACAGTCTTAGACAGGACATAAGAGGAATATATCAAGGTGGTGCAAAACGCATTTCTTAGTTGAATCTCCCCAACTTGTACCAGTAAATTAGCTTCAGGAAGTCACAAGGCTTCTTTGTTTTAAACCGTGGTTAAAAATCAACAGTGTGGCAAAAAACTGTAACTCCCTAAGAACAAGGGCCGGGGTGAGGGGCTGAGAGACTCTTTGCAGTGGTATCTATCAATGCCAGATATGATTTTGGCCGTGTAAACTCCCTGCAGGGTTTCAGTGCTTTCAGACTTTCTGGTGTCTCCTTTCCATCACCCTTGCCCAGATTTTTTTTTCCCTTACCTCCTAAAATGCCCCCTAGCTCTTCACTTGAAGTTTCCCTGTAATTTACACCACAAACAAAGCTAATGGAATTCAAACAAGTACCCCAGAGCAGGCAGGTTGCACAGATGAATTCAGGGAGATGTTTAGGTCCCATTGCTAGAACAAGAAATCCTCACCTTGGCTCTTATTTGGATCAATTAAAGGATGTGTCATGCACATCTGTAACCTGGCTAGACCCTTTGCTCAGTCTCAGGGTGAACATTGTCAATCAGGTAGTTTAGAGAGGTATCAAGAGTGCAGGCTTTCTGGAAAGCTCTAATTCTTGGGGTGAAAATGCTGCTTGAAACATCTGGTGTGGTTTGAATTAGTTATGGTGGGAGCTGATAAGATGGCAGGCTACCAAGAAGTGGGTTTGACTGTCCTGCTTGAGTAGGGCTGGAATACCAACAGAGAACAAGGGCCTCCCCAGTACTAACAGGGAGGTATAAAAAGATGCTTCTCATTTCGTGAAGCTCATGAAAGCGCACACAAGTTAAAAAATAAATCATTAAGCCCTTAATGGCCAGGGTGAGTGCTGCCTCCTTTCCAGGGTTTATGGCTGCAAAAAATATCTCTGAAGTCAAAAGGAGCTGATGGTTGAACACATCAGTGCGGGACCATTTTAGGGTCTGGGTCTTGGGAAACTCCGAGGTAAGAGCCCTGTGTCTCCTTTCATTGCCTGCTAAGGGTGTTACTGGGGTTAGGTGGTGTCCCCGAGTCCAGCCAAGCGCTCTGTACCTTCTCAAAGCGGGGCAGGTGCCAGAAGGACTCCTCCTTTGCACGTGGTGGGTGCTTTCGCAGGAATGTGGTCCGAGTTTCACACACTTTGCCTTTCTATAACCAAAGGTGAAGAAGAATGGGTTGAAACAGCTGTATACATCAGGATGGTGTCATGCAAAATAATGACACTGGGATGAACAACACTAAAAGTCATTTTGGACTGATGATCACAAGTGCCTGATCTGGGAATTTTTTCCTGTCCACGCAGCTAATACTGACACCAAACGCAGTAATGAGAAAAGCATGAGCAGCTCTCCGTGTCTGCGTTCTCCAGCATCCCAGTGAGTTGACCGCTGGCTGTGGGAAGCCCTGCGCTCTGAGCTAGAGCAGTGGCTCACCGCAAGCTGGAAGTCAGTTCTACCACTCCCACCTTGCAGGGGTTTTCTGGTTGTCTGGTGTGTGCTGCTTTCCTGATTAATCGCAGCTTGCAGTGCTTGCTAGTCCCAGCCCAAGCTGGTGCAGGTACCTGGTGAGTGTTTTGGCTGCTGTGTGAAACCCCGGGGAATCTGCTCTGTGATCTAGAATGTTGGTTTGTGTTGCTTAACTCAGTAATTTGTGGCTGCGGGCTTTGGGAACTTGATGGAGGGAACTTAGTGATTAAAACCATCAGTCATTAATAGATAAGGTAGGGATGCACTTTGCAACATCCCAGGCTTGTGTATTCATAAAGTAGCTGCTAATTAAGAACACTGTATTCTTGCATTTCAACAATAAAGCACAGTTTGTGATGGCAGTAAGCCCATTGAAATTGGTCATTACCATATTAGCTTGACTCTTCTTTGAGCCATTAACCAATAAACCAGTCATTGGCTGCTTTTAAATGTTATTACAACACTGGTGTGTTTAACAGCACAGTGTTGTGCGCTAACAACTGCGGTGGGTGCTGGCATCAACCACACCGTACCAGGATCAGGGCTCGTGCTGGGCCTTTGAACATTTTGTTGGCTGTTGCGTTGTTTTTGTCTACTGTCACAGGTAACCTGAGCAGAGCTGATGCTGTCCAAAGGACAGTCTGCAGGGCTCCTGGCACGAGGGTGACATAAATACCAATGATAATTTGAAACTTCTTTGTTACAGCAGGGTGTTTTACTATTGTGTCAATGCAAGAAGAACCAGAGCCTTCACTTTAATTCATACCGGGAGTTTAGCTGGGCAGCCTGTGACTAGAAGCATATTGATGCAGACAGATGCTTGATGGTAACGAGAGAGGTTTCTCTGTGGGACAGGTGACTAAGCCTTTGAAAGGCCTTGGCCAAAGCACTGCTGCCCTTGCTCAGCTCCTGTGTGTATCTTCAGATACAAAAATACTTTTAAAAAAAACCCTCTTTTTGTCTCTAGAACACTTTCACGTACACACACTGTGATCTGTGTATTTGGTGTTCACTCCCACAGCATCACCCCACAGGACATGTCCTGACTGAAGCCAGGTCCATCCTGGCTGGGAAGCAGCTCATCTCTGTTAGACTTCACCAGCCCTCTAGTAGTCCGGGAGGATGTTTTCCCAGCTGAGAGCCCTCCCCATGGCTGGAAGAAGCCCATCCACAGTGGTGTAGGACAGGGGGGGGTTATGCCAGGTAGCAGTGCTGTGCACAGCAAGGGGAAGCACTGCTGGAGTATTATCACCTTTTTCTTTTCCTCTCGCTGGGCTACTGTCAGGGCTCTCTGCTGCTCCATCCACAGCTCTCTGTATTTGTGTTGGAGGAGGTCAAAAAAGGGAGTGCAAGACCTGGAAAACATTGAAAAGACAACATCATAGTCTCCAGGGTTAATCCCTCTTTATCTCCCCATGCCGATTCACATCTCTGCTCCTGTAAAGTGCAACTGAGAACGTGAATAAACCCTCGCCCTGGGCAAGGCTTTGGCTTCCTCAAGAAATTCTCAACCCCACCTTAATTTGCAGTTAATGCACCGCAGCATGAATGCACCCGTGACAACCTGTGGCAGGACTCTGCTAGGGCATTCCCCAGAACAGGCACAATTTCTCTTGGCGCCACCTTCTCTTGGCCCCTACGACCAGCTCTGTTCAAGCCTGGTGTGCTGGGGGAGGACCAAGGAGCATCACAGACTGCAGCTCAACCTTGGGCCGTGCTGTGGCTCCAGAAGAGCGTTTCCCAGCAGGTCCCCAGTGGTGGGTAATGAGGGCGCTGAATGGGGCAGTGTCCGGCAGCAGGGAGCTGGGCTTTCGCATGGCCACCCTGGAGCTCAGAGGCGCAGCTCTGGCTGGGTCCCCTCCAGACTGAAGCAGCCATGGCAGCTCCTGGGAAGAACTACTGGGTGCAAAGTGTGTTTTGCTAAAATAATACTGCTTTGGCTATTAAAACACCATTACTGTGGCTTACCAAAAAGCCACAAACAGATTCAGTGATGGATTGAGTGAGAGGAGTAAGTGCTGTCCTGAGCAATCCAAATGGGGATAAAACAGGACTCAATGCAGATGGTCAGGTGTCTGCAGCAGAAAGGGGAGCCGGAATGCTGAGCCCTGCTCCAGTGCCTCAGCTGCACAGACCAGATGTATTTGCACCTTGAAACAGGGTACCAGGGACCATCCTGGCCAGGAGGAGACAGCAGAGAGGAGCTGCAGATGGCCATGGTTCTAGAAAAATAGTAAAAATAAAAGGCAGTTGCTTGTTGGCCAGTGTCTGTTCAGCTGCTGTGAGCTGGCATTAACCTGACCATCTTGGGGCAGAGCTGCAGCCTGAAGCTGTTGAGCCTTGCTCCTTGCAAGTGAGGGCACTTCATCAGCCACCGTGGGAGGCAGAACCGGCAGTGGCAGCAGCAGGCTTCTAGCCTTGAGAACAGCCTATCACTTATTGCTGTGGTCCTGTTGCTCTTCTTTTCCCTGGAAGAAAACACTTGAAGGTGGTGGAGGACCTCAACCACTAGTTTTAATAGTCCTTGTCCACGCACACCTTTCTGGGGAGGGATGTTTCCCATGTGCTGATGACTGTGGAGCCATCACCCCCAGCTCTGCTCCCACCTGTAGCTCTCGGTGCCTTCAGCTGCAGCCCCGTAACAGAGGCAGTGCTTTCCCTGCCTGTCTGGACCAACTGCAAGGAGCTGGGGACTTGGGCTAACTGCTGGGCTGCGATGTGGCCACCAAGTCCACCAGAAGGTGGTTTTCTGCAGAGAGAGCCCTTGTGCCACCGAGTGAGATGGTGCTTTGCTTTTGGCAGAAGCGGGTCCACAATTGGTGCAGCCAGCTTTTAGCAGTCCAGAGAATCTTTGATGATCATGGAGGGCACCAGCAGCGAGTATGCAAATAGTAACTCTTCCGTTTCTTGTTCCTTCACCCCTGTGGTGACTTTTATTACTTAATTATTGCACACCACATGCTTCAAAACAGCCTAATCTATGGTTGTGTTTTCTAATGATACGAGATGTGCAATCCAGCAATAGCCATCCCAAGGGGGCATTCATATCAGAGGAGACATCCTTCTGCAGACCTGTTTCACAGATCACATGCTGCAGGGCTTTTCAAGGCTTTGCTTACAAATCAGCTGTGCTCCTCCAGACCGTTATCTGGAGACACCCGGTGCCAAAGGGCACACCAACATTTACCCTTCGTTGTCCCCTCTTGTCTCCTCTCCTTCCCTTCCAGTTTGGCGTTTCATGCTGATCAGAGCTGGACAGAATCTTTTCCAAAGGATAAAAGATGTGGCAAACATGTGGTCAAGTGTCTTATTGTCCATGTGGGTCTCCAGTCTCATTGCATGGTGTAAATTTTGGTATTCCTGGCACAAACGCATGGTGAGCCTTGCACACGGGCTCGTTTCCTTGGCCTGTGCCTTTGCTCTCCAAGGCAGGAGTTTGGGAATAGCAGGGAGGGACGCAGGAAAGCCTTGAGCCTTTGTGTGTAGTGTTTGATTATTGATTTTTGTGGTAGCTGAATGTGTTTTCACATCTCTCTGGAGGTGACTTTTATCATCTCCAGTGGACCAGCCAGTTGGTGACTGATTAGTCCACAGCTGGCTTGTAAGTAAATGCCTGAAAGGACACATTTGGGTTGATGCTCTTCAGAGATCCTTCCCTGCAGTGTGATTAATCGCATTTAAGTCCTGATCCAGCAAAATATAGAATCATGCCTGGAATGATACATGCGTGAACTGCCTCTTTGAAATCAGTGGGAATGACTTGTATGCTTCGTTACACACGTAAGCTCTGGTGGGGCTGTAGGACGAGGGGCTTCGTCTGGGTTTTCCTGCCTCCTTTGAGAGAAATACTGAGAAAGCGGGGAAGAGCAGGGGATATCAGGTAACATGACTTTGACTAAGGTGAGCAGAGAAATTTCAGTGAGGCAGCCTTTTCGATGCAGGTCAAACGCTGACCTCGTTGGAGTGGATGAGGAATTTTGGCCCCAATATTGGTGCTGTGTGGCAGTGTGACAATATTTCTCATTTGCAGCTGGCCTTTGGGAAAACATCCTCTCACCTTAGTGTTACTTAAGGACAGGAATGAACAGCTCGTGTGCTCTGTTGCCTTCTGTCACCCTGCCCAGATGTCACTCCTCTGAACTGGGAGGATTGTGCTGTTACTGTCTGCGGATGCTGTGGGGAGAGCAGGGGAAGCATCCGCTGAAAACACTTATTGAGGAATAAAATACAATCCCCTTCAGAATAACTTAGATCTCCTTGTTTTGGCACAAGCACCCTGCCACAGAAAGGGAAAGAAGTTCTGATAGGATGTAACAAATTATTTATAATTGTGGAAAAAAAAAATTTGCTGCTTCCTTTTATAGTCAAATAGTTGGAGCCACTTCTAATGTTGACACTTACTAAATATTTTAAAATTTATCTGTGCACGTTTTCAAAACTATTATCCCTGAAACAGCTCCTGTCTCTTTAATAGACTCTCTGTCTAATTTACTTTCAAGAGTCAGGGTACAGACCTATTTTCAACTGAAATGACAAGTGCCTGCTAAGTTGGTTATACAATGTGGTATGTTAGTCTGCCAGAAATCTCCTGGAAAAGAAGCTGCAGCCTCCTAATAGGCTATTTTACTGTGAAAATAATGTTAAAAAGTATAATAAAGTATTAACAGTATTAAAATAAAACAGTGTAGGCCTTAAATGAGCTACAAACTAGTTAAATCTATTCTATTCAATATGAGCCTTTAGTGCTTTGCAGCTGATACCTCAGAGCTGGGATTTATCTAAAATGAAGGCACCAGGGACATGCAAGAGAAATGGTAATTATAATTTGCAAACATTAGGCTGACACTTTTTTTGTGTATGTGTGTATAAATTCTGACAGCTGTGATTTGTGCCATGCTAAATAGTGCTCTACTGAGCTGGGAAGGGCTCCCTTTCTGGCAGGGCATCCTCAGAGCAGCAGCTCATTAAAACTTTGGAGAAGGAGAAGTTGCCGAAAACAGGAAGGCGTCAGAACCATCTGAGGGACTTTTGGTACATGCTTGTTGAAAGGTGTTTGAGAAGAGAGCCTTGGGTCTGACAAACTGGAATTTTAGTACGCCTCTCCGTTCACAGTGGGGCAAAATAATTGGTCATCAGTGACTACTAATTTGGTTTAGTAGCCAGAGGCGTTTTTTTTCTTCCCAGAAAATCAATGACAGTGCCGAGGTCTGTTCAACGTGATTCAGCTCAAGATGGGTCCTCATTTAGCTCTTGATGCTTCTTCTACTGGAGACAGCTATTTTGTTAAAATGAAATTAAAATCTATCTATAATGCTCGGCTCCAGGAGTGGCACCCGTCAGTGCCATGCTGCTCCGGAGGTTTCAAGGTTGTCAGTCTCCCCTCAAACTTGTTTTCAAAGGTTTGTATATCAACTGAAAAGAAGGTACTTGACAAAAGGGCGTACAAAGGTCTTTGCTCAGGAAGGGGGTTTATACCAGCTAAAAAGGGGCAATCAATTGATTGCCAGCTTGGGTTGTAGAAGGGTAAAAGCTTGACTTGATTGCTTTTTTTTCTTGTATAACTCCAAAGCACAGGGGCTTGTAAATATTTTAGTGCAAACTTCAGCCCTTGGATTTTCTGGGTAGTTCTCCAGCCAGTGCCGATGGCTGCTGCTGCTGAGGATGGGGTCTGGTGGGGAGCAGAGGGCATGTGCGGGGGCATCGACCCCCTGGCAGCTGGGCAGCTGCTCGGGCTGCACCAACACCGCTGCTCTGACTTCAACGGCAGCGTAGTGCCAGCAGGACCTGGCCTGCATGGGTGCTCCTGCAGCAGATAAATCATAGAATTGCGTTGGTCTGTAGTTGTGATATCAAAACTCTGCAACACCACTGCCTACCCTGTAACTTTGACCGTTCTTTGAAAGGTTAATGAGTTTTGGGGGTTTAATCCTTGTGGGTGTCCTTTTGCTGCACAGCCAGGATCTGTCTCTGGGGTCTTCAGCCCACACAGGAGACCGCTGCAGGGGGCATTACCTTTGCACTCCCCTTTCTTGTGTACTTCATGAGGGAAGGATTTGTCCTGAGGCAGTAGTGGCCATACAGAGATCTTCCCCTGGCTTGTGGCCGTGTCAGCCCACCCAGCTCTCCCATCAGCTCAGGTTGGTTTCCCATTGGGAACGTTTGGTCTCTGGCACCTCTGGAGCGTGGGACTCCCTGCTGCAGCCAGCACACATTACCCTCAGCAAATGGAGCCCAGTCCGGGGTCTGTGATGCTGCTTGGTACCTTGGGGTACCGACAGTGCAGGCAGCAGCAAGGCATGAATGTTCAGGTCCCTCTGCCCTGCAAGGGGGCTGATAGCACAGGAAAACTCTGATT